TAAATTCATCACCACCACAAACTAAACCTGAGGATACCTGCTACTGCAATAACTAAAATAAAAAGATTAAATTCATCACCCACCCATGGAAGAACCGCCAAGAACATGTACCTGAGGATACCTGCTAAATAAATAACTAAAATAAAAAGATGAACTTCATCACCCATGGAAGAACCRCCAYGAACTAARCCTGAGGAGGATACCTGTTATTGCAATAACTAAAATAAAAAGATGAACTTCATCACCCACAGAAGAACCAYCATGAACACRCACCTGCATACATGTGGTAGGTCAGCCTCTCGATGAGCTTCACCACCGTGCCCCCTTTGATGATSGGAATGCCATTCCTGCTCTGCAAGTTATCCTCAAAAACGATGTTTTCCTCGGAATCCTCCACCACGAAGCGATAAACGCTGGGGCTGGGCAGCCTCAGGGGCTGCTCATTCTCCTCCTGCAGCAGCACTGARTCCAACATCCTATCCAGGGTGCTGCGGTACTGCAGGGAAATCAGCGCCGCCATCCAATTGCTCTTCTCCTCGGCCGATTTCGCGGCAAAAATAACGCTGTTATCATCCTTAGACACCAGCTCAAAGGCATGCCTGTACTCTGCCGTGTCCTCCTTGTCCAGCACCTGCGTTTTCCTCATCACAATCTTCTCCTTGAGCCGGAACTCGGCGCTGCTGTAGCCGGGCAGCCGCGACTGCCCGTGGTTGGGTTTGCAGCTGATCAGCAGCCCGTCGAACAGGAAGATGTGGCGCTCRTGTTTGGCCCCGATTTTCGTCAGAGCCCCTTCCATGATGAACTCGTTGCAGCACTGCCCGATGTCTTTGCCTTCCCAGCCGTCGATGTTTTTCTGGATTTCGTTCATTTTTTTGATGGCCAAGTGTTTGCTCCTGATCTGCCGGTGGTAGAAGCGACAGACCGGCTCCCTTGAAGGAAGAAAGAAAAAAACCACTGTGGGCACRTTCCAGATTTGCCATCCCAAAACACTAAATGAATTGCTTAAATTGTGATTTTTCTTCCCTCAAAATGCCCTGATCAATTTTTAAATAAGCCACGTGCACTGCTTGGGCTGGGAAGGAGTAAAATATTCACATTATTCTCAGAAGCGGGGTGTGAAGATTTTMGACTGCTGCTCCACTTACAAAGAAAAATGGCAGCAAGACATGCTTTGGAAAGGAAATACATGGATTTTTCAAGAGAAAAAGGTGATTTCTGTTGCTCCTGGCAGCTGGGGGAAGGCAGGGAGCTGTGTGTGCTTACTGTAAGAGACCGTATGGAAGACCCTGGACTGTCTCACGATCATTGAAAAAACCCCAAGGCGGGAGAAAAGGGGACTTTTGCTCAAAGGAGTCCGAGCCAGATCAAGGTGGGAGGACTGCCAAGTTTCCAGCTCCTAGGCTGCTGAGAACAATGGATGTAAGCTACAGATGGTCACACCGTTCCTGAGGAGAACGGTACAGCCCAAGCCCATGCTGCACACCTTAACAAAAGACATTCTTTCCCCACTGCTTGGCCAGTTTTCCATACTTTGCAACCCCCTGGCTTGCTGCCACTCRCTTTGAAAAAGACTATAAAAAGTCTCCCTGAGAAGACCCCTATGGAGATCTCTCCCAACGGACCCTGACCACCCCCATGGAACTTCGGAAGACTCGTCAGAACTGTTGGTAGCTATAACCCACTCTCTCTCTCTCTCTCTCTCTCTCTCTCACCCTCTTCTATCGCAAAATATCCAAATAAATTGTTCCTGATTATTTAAAGCATATATATTTGCCCCTCGTTTTCTTTTGCACTCGGAGATTCCGATAAGGAACCTCTCACGACCCCTGTTTGAGTTAAGGGGATGGTGACACTTACCCAGGCCGGCGCCGTGGCGAGTGTTTGCTGTAAATGCGCTCCATGCTGCACTGCAGGTTCAGGAGCGCGGTGATCGCCTGCTTCAGGCACTCCCTGTCCTCCTCATCCTCGCTGCATTCCTGCAATTGCTGCAAAAAAACAACAAACAGTTATTTTCTCTCAGATTTGTCCCATTTCTAGCAGGGTAGGAAGGCTGATGAACCAGAGAATTATCCCATGCAGATGATGATCATGAAAAGCAAAGTTCCGTGATTTTGAAAAATTCTCCCCAATATCCAATTTAAGCCTCCCATGGCACAGATTGAGGAAATTTCCTCTTGTCCTGTCCCTGTTCCCTGGGAGCAGAGCCCGACCCCACTGTCCCCATCCTCCTGTTGTTTGGGTTTGTTTTGCGGTTTTTTTTTAAAGCTTTTCTGAACTGAATTTCTGAATTTAGAACATTTCTAAACTGACTCTCAYTAGAAATGCTTAACAATTTTAATTTTACTGAAACCACACACATTTAAGTGTATTGAAGGCTGCCCCTGCCCATGGCAGGGGTTGGAATCAGATGGTTTTTCAGGTGCCTTCCAACTCAAACCATTCCGGGATTTAAACCTTTCTGCAAAATATTGGTAATCAGTTCACTGGAGTTGAGTCAAAATAAATCATCTCTTATTTTTATTTATCTAAATCAGGAGATGCAAAAAAAAAAAATCCCAGCAAGACATAATGAAAACAAGAGTGAAATTAAGAAAAAAAAAGAATATGTGCTAAATTAACTACAGACCTGGCATTAACAAAATTCCTAGAAACATTTAGATTGGATTATAGATAAATTCTAAGATGCAAGGTTTCATTTTCCTTTTTCATCCAAGTAAATCCCTTAAAACACAGAGGAAATCCATAAAACAAACCTGTACAGCATCAGTTTTTACACTGGGAACCCAAAAGAGGAATTTCTGTTGCCATTTCCAAATGCCAGCTACAGCCACAGGGTGGTTTTTACCTTTTTAATTGAAGTTCATCCCTGTTAGTTAATAATTYATTTACCCTGAGAGCATTACAAACCCTCCCAACACAATGGGGCAAACAGAACCTTTTTTACATCATCCTCAGTTAATTCCATTTAGGACTCAGCACAAATGGTTGAATATTAAGAATGGATTATTTTGAAATAATAAACTGAGCTGCAACTGGAGTGTGACYTGAGATTGAGAATTCTGACCTGAATCCTTCTTAGAATGGACAAAAAATTCAGAACTCATGGAAAGAAGAAATTAGATTTGCAAATTAATTTTTTTACTGCATTTAAACTTGAATTAAATAGATGTTTGTTAAATAAAATGTAGTTTAAATGTTCATCAGAAAGCAAAAGATGTTTTAAAGATTTTTTTGAACATGTTTTTACTTTTCAGAAATGGAGTAATTGGTGTCAAATAATGTTTTCATCTCTWTCCATTTTCACAAGCAGTTAAGTAAAATGTGAGCACCTATTTAAAAGCTCAGATTCTCAATATTAATAGTATTTTCAGGGAGAATTACGAGTGTGGCTCCACTTACCTGCAGTAACTCAAAGTAGTGCAAGCAGTGATAGACTGGGATCAGCATGAGGCGGGGCAGGACGTACTGCACAGCTTCCTTAAACCCCTCAGCTGTGGACTGGAAAGGAAAAAAAAATCAGAATTATTGCACAGCTTCCTTAAAAAAATCAGCTGTAGACTGGAAAGGAAAAAAATCAGGATTATTGCAAAGCTTCCTTAAAAAAATCAGCTGTGGACTGGAAAGGAAAAAAAAAATTAGGATTATTGCACAGCTTCCTTAAAAAAATCAGCTGTGGACTGGAAAGGAAAAAAATCAGGATTATTGCACAGCTTCCTTAAAAAAAATCAGCTGTGGACTGAAAGGAAAAAAAAATCAGGATTATTGCACAGCTTCCTTAAAAAATCAGCTGTGGACTGGAAAGGAAAAAAAAGTCAGGATTATTTACACTGAAATACTCAGAATATTCACTGCACTTCCATTGTGTCAAATATCTCAAAGAAATATGGAGGTTTCATTGATTCACTGAAGAAATCACTCTCAGAAACTGAGAATCATAATTTTATCRCTTGAAAAATGAGAAATCTTTTCCATTCTCTGTAGTTAATTMAGGCAATAATTCAGGTTGTAAAATGAGGAGAGATTTTTCCAAATGGTGAAATTCCTGCCATATTCCACAGCACAACCATCAAGGAGAAAATGAATTATTTCAGACTCAGAAATCAGAAAGGAGGCTGAATTCACTGACTTGATTACCAATCTAATCTGGAATAAAGGAATTTAATTCCAGCTTTGAGCCTAAATTGAGGAGGGAAGGAGGGAAAATCCTCCCTCACTTCACTGGGCAGCAATGAGTAAGAAATTATTGAAGAATTATTCAAGAAAAAACACGAATCACAGCTTAAATGCCAAAGAAGGCTTTGGATATGTACAGAAGAAAATGAAAATATGGTGTTTGGGTGGCTGTGTTWGGCTTTAAAAGGCAAAACAGAAGCAGCAGTGTGAGAATTCACCCTCTGCTCTCTGATGTGAGGAGAAAAAAAATCTGCAAAACACTCATGGATGGGTCAGAGCTGATTTTACAGCAAAAGGCAAAATCCAAATATTTCACACTGAAGAAAGAGCAGGCCCTTGAGGATTTCTTTCTCAGCTGGAAGCAAAGAAYTACTGACAAAATTCAAACTTTTGAAATGTGAGAATGTTTTATGTTCAGTATTTCTCATCTGCRCTCACCTGGAAGTGGAGAGCCACGGCAGGTTTGGCCATCAAGTTATTAAAATGCTCCTGAAATTGTGGAGAGAGAATATCCTGGGACAAGGTTTCATATGGATCAAAGGCTTGCTCCTAAATAAAAACACAGAATTACACACATAASTGAAGATCCAAATATTTCTGTCCCAGCTGGCGCAGTCATTTCCTTTAATAAGCTGATGGAACTTTTCAGGAAAATATTGATTTTGCAAAACAAATATTGAGCAAACCACAACCTTTTTTTTCACTTCCAGCTTTTAAATGCTCAATGATTTTCTCAGCATTCCTCAATCTCCAACACAAACTTTGTTTTACTGATTCAGTGGGAACCAAGAGAAGTTTTGGGCTTTTCCATTTCACATGGAATGGCAATGTTCATAAAGATGGATAATGTGGAAAACTGRGACACTTTTCCAGAGAAAATATCCCATCTGGGACTAAACAACCAGCCCCAGGGGAAAGGCTTCAAATGACATCAAGGATTGCAGGTGCAAAAATGATGACTCTGGGTGGAATATCCGGCTGTGATTCCACAGGATCAGCTCCAGCAGGATGGGATGCACAGCTGGCTGCACAGGGATCCTGCAGGAA